ATCCCCACACTTGGTCTCCTCTACACCCTTATCTCCAACAAGCCTGAACCATCCTTCCACCAATCCTTCCATCTCAGAGAGCAGTTGGTATCCCCACCTGGCCCCCTCTCACACATAGAACTGCAGGCAGCAGTCCTTCCTGTTCCAATTGTGTTTGACATTGTGTTGAAGTTGTACTTTAAGCAAAGCTCGTAAGTACTATTTGATTGGTTCTTGAGGATGAGCTCTGGTTCTAGAACAGTAGGGGTAAGTTGCCTAGGTGAAACACCTAACGACAGCTCAGAGTAACAATGAGTAGTACAGGCAATCTGTCTAGCTCAAAGGTTGATTGAGATCCAATGACAAACTTGATTGACAAGTTTGAACACAAACCATAAGGGTTGTGTTCCTACTTGCTTATATACAGTCCACCAGATCTGCTTGTTGACAAGCAGAGTTGGTCCTGGCCAATTGTAAGGGTATCTGTGACAGCGAGCTCAGTAGCAATGGGGGGTGGTCTTGTAAGATTAATTGCTACCGTTCCCTGGCCATTGTGTGCCCAATTATCTATGCGCTCTCACCCATACCATGCTAGCGTCCCAATGGGACATGACAGCCTACTTCACTACAGCACTGTAATCCCGTTACACCAATACAGATAGATTGTGTCTTGTTGACAAGTACCATATGATGCTCGTTGACAAGCATGGTGTCATGATCATTGACAAGCACTCATGTGACCGCTCAGCTGAGAGCATCCTTCAGGTGTTGGCTGGGTAGCCTTGCCGTGCTGCGCCTTCCCCCAGGCTTCCATGTTTGGTTCGCGGTTACTTATTACCCGTCGTCCTATTGCAGGACGTAGGATTGTAACACATTGGTATCCCAGCGCTCTCCTTCACGGCACCAGGTTCTGATCATACCCCTCTCTTCTCCTATCTGAGCAGGAGCCTCATCTGTGAAGACTACCTGGTAAAAGTTGTACCCCTTGTTGTCAGGCCTGGCTGATGATATAGTACTGTTCTGGCTAGGGCTCACCATTAGAGTGAGCTGTGTGTAAGGTTACTGTAGGCAGGCAATTGGACACAGGATGGATTGGGGCCATCTGGGGCCAAATGGGATGAGATTAAACAAATCCTTGATGGTTGAGCCTCAAGGTTCATAAGGAATATATACAGGTGGCCTGTGAGCCTCTGGTCCAGTCCTGGAGTACATCTGAGGGCTGGCCAATACTGTTACAATCAAAGGGCAACCTGCAACAACACTGAATGAACAGGACTACACAACAATACAAGAGGAGCCAAGGAACTGTAGTATTGATTGACTCAAGCAGTGGGCTGCGTTGGCAATACTCAGTATGATCATCACTCTCAGTGGAGCAACTCAAGTGACCTGAGCAGTGGGCTGCATCGGCAACACTTGGCATGAGCAGTATACTTGGTACAATTAGTGTACTTGGTACAATTGGTGTACTTAGTACAATTGGTATACTTGGCATGGTCAGTATACTTGACACAAGCAGTATACTCAGCATGGTCAGTATACTCAACACAAGCAGTATACTTGGTACAATCAGTATACTCAGTACCAAGCAATCTGAGCAATCTGAGCAATCCTCTGCTCATGTATATAGCAAGTACACACGCTGCCCTTATGGCATTGTGTTCAACCTTGCCAATCAACTTTGTTATTGGAATCTCACTTGCTCTTGAGCCAGACAGTATACTCTGTACTACTCATTGCAACCAGTTGCCATGGTCTTTGACTAGACAACTACCTGACTATTACAAAGGCTACTACTGCCTTGCCCAGATAGTCTACCCCTGACCACCCAAGCTTTGCTTAGGTGACTGTCAACCCCTATGGCTTTCTGTACCTCTGCTCATCCCTGAGAATCAATCAACTAGTGTCTACAAGCTTTGCTTAAGGCACAAATTGTAACACACGGGTATTTCCCCTTACATGTACCTGTTGAAGTCGTACTTTAAGCAAAGCTCGTAAGCACTATTCGATTGGTTCTCGAGGATGAACTCTGGCTCTGGAACAGTAGGGTAAGTCGCCTGGGTGAAACACCTAACAACGGCTTGGGGTAACGATGAGTAGTACAGGCAATCTGTCTAGCTCAAAGGTTGGTTGAGATCCAATGACAAACTTAATTGATGAGGTTGAACACAAACTATAAGGGTTGTGTTCCTACATGCTATATACTAAATGTGTCTACGTGGTGATCTGTCTGCTCTGTGTGATCTGACAGCGCAGTGAGAGCAGTGGGAGCATTCATGCAGAGTGCTCTGCGTGCTCTGTTGCTGTACGTTGGATTGTGAGATCAGTGAGAGCATATATGCAGTCTTACAGCCGGCCTTGTTTCTGTCTCAGTTTAACTGAGGCTTGCCGCTGCTCTGTTGTTGCCTACGTTAGCGTGAGAGCGATCCTTGTCAGTGCTACCTAGTGTACCACTGATCGTAACACAAGGTTGATTGACAAGGTTGAACATGATGCTATAAGGGCCGTGTTACTACTTGCTATATACAGTATGAGAGGGGACTGCTTGTGGACGAGCAGTCCAGACTGATCCAATAGAACAGGAACTAAATTTTTGCATTACTAGAGGAGCCACTGCTCCTCTTGTCTTCCAGTCTCAGACTCACATAAGATGTTAAAACAATAAAACAATCAAACAATCAACAGCCAGACTAAAACTGTGCTATGTTCTAGAGGTCTTACAGTCAAATTGTTCAGGTGAACACCCTCACATCACCAGGACGTTCGACAGCTGTGGAAGACAAACCGTCCAGCGCTTACCGTTTCCTCGCGACCAGATGTTTTCCAGACTTTGTATTGCAGAAGGGATGTTGCGGAACTGCGTACGTGCGTAGACCTGCTCCATACGATGTACAAAGAAGTCCCTCTGACTCTGGTCTGTCGAGGCTGCTCCAGCAACGAAGCATACCCAGACCAGGGCGTGCGCACCTCGAGCGTTAGGGGCAATTTGGGACATGACACCAATGAGCTGCTCGATGGATTGGGCCTGAATCGAGTCGTGGGTCATGCCCAAGTTTGTAGCAGCATCCGCGCTGGCTGCGCACCGGGTGTAGATGTTGCATGCAGATACAAAACACTGTCGTATCAAATCAGTGATGCGCCGATCTTCGCTATCCTTGGGGAGATGCGAATAGGAGAGAAAGCTCATCAAGGACTCTGAGGCCTTCATCATGGTGAGAACGCCCATTTCTTCACCAAGTAGTGGCACACCGAGCAGCTCAAACCTTGAGTCTGTCAGTTGTTGGGTCATGAGATTTCCCTCCTTTCACTTACATATGGGTCTGTGCCTGCAAGAAAGTTGACAGAGTTGGATCAAGGTCTCGACCAGGACTATTCATAGACAAGCAGAGAAGCATTTGGACGAAGAACCGGTAATCTGAACTTCCCGTCACCGTCTCGCCAACCAAAAGCACGATCAGGGTCGCCCAGGTGAACTTGTTGAACACTTTGTCGGCAGACTGTTGTAAAGAGTCGCTGCGCAAGCGTGAAATGACGGCCGCGCGTCCGGCCTCGGCTGCGTCTTGAAGCTCAGGTCTATGACGACCGAGGTGTTGTGCAGCAACGACACCGACCGTACGACGTAACAGGTCATCTTCAAGCGCCATTGGAAGAACCAAAGATCGATACCCATTCGTACTGTCGTCAAGCACTACCATGGCCGGAGCTACGGTTTCCGAGACTATCCAGCGATCAGTGGACTAAGCGATGGTGCTAATGGGACATGGACACTTACAGTATGAGAAGAGCATCCGTAGTTTCGGATCGATGGGTGCAATCCACGGAGCTATGTCGAAGGTCTGTGTGTCCAAAGTGATAAGGGAATCGTGACCTCGACCAATATCTTCCACTTCACCATCATCTTCTCCGTTCGTCCTTGCGAGACCTGGTGGCGATGATGCTGGTCCCGCGTTGGCCTGTGAGAGAGCATCCAATGGAGCTGTTGAACGTTCTTTTCCGATCACGTCCTCGATCGTATCGACCTTTCTCCTCTTCTTAGCTCTTTGTTCGCCTGGCCACCGCAATGCTTTGAATTCCGTGGTTGTCGGCAGCTCCTTACACCCATCATCTCCTCCTGCCTTCGGTACCTTGTAATCCTTGAAACGACCTCTACGGGCCACACCTTCAGCAAATCGAATCCTACCGAGCCCAGAGCAATCGATACCCTTCTTCGCACACTTCAGACATGATGGCTCGGTCTTATCGCAGACGATCCTGCGGCGCGAGCATTGGAAGCAACCCCGCTCTTTCTTTGTCAAATCATTTGAAGCCATGTGTCTGTTTTCCTCTCGCGGATGATAGTGCGAAGGTTCGCAAATATCACCGTCTGTAAGAGGTGCAGTCCCAAAAAGGTGGAAAAATATCAATGGCGATGACAACATGCGCGCAGACGGGTTCAACTATCGCAGCCATTCACCAAATGTAGTGTATCGCGCTCCATGTCGTGCCTCACAGAGGTGCATTGTAACTCGGAAGGTGCGATCAGCGATCTATCACAAGGTCGAAGTTCCACGGTTGGTGTGCTTTTCTTTCGGGCCGAATTCGGCAAGGGCTTTGGAGGCTCGCCCTCCTCACAGTCGACCCCAAAGAACTCCGCCTTCACAGCAGTGAACAAGGTTGCGCTGCTGAGTCTACGCAAGCTTTAATACGCATTGTGGGTGCACGCCTTTTAGAAGAGCAGCCGAACATGTTCAGAGCAAGTACGGTGAGGTCACCCACATTTTCGGATTCTCTTCACTAACATCTGCTGCTTCTGTCTACTTCATTACTGTTTGACAAGTCGCACGTAATACCATGTCACTCCATCAACACCTGTAACCGAGGCCCGTGGAAATGCTTACGTGCATGTCCGAACCAGTTAACGACTGTGAACATCGCCATCACGCCAATCACCGCCGACGCATAATCTGGACATAGTCAGTTGCAGCAACAATGGGTCAATGTGGAGGAGACTTACTCATGCTTGTTCCTGTTACTGGTATAACAGTTGGGAAGTCGTAGAATACCAGGACTAAAACTGCAAACCCCACAGTCGTCAAGTTCGCTGCCCATCCCACAACTGATGGCATCCTAAAGGAGCGCGACTCTGGCAGCCACTTCACAGATCGCTTTCGCATCATCAAAAGCGCAGCTGGGAATGCGTATGTACCGTGTTGTAGGATCAGACCTGTGCCGATGAACGCATTGAACGCTGATGTCGAGCCGAGATAAATGCAGCCAATGATAAACATGATGGCGAAGTTGAAGAGCAAGGCAGCTATGGGGACTTTTTGCTTCTCATTGATCCTACCGAGCCAGCGGCTGCCGAATAGCGCGTCGTCGCGTGCAAAGGACCAGGTCAAGCGAGACGCTGTTTGGTGTGTGGCGTTTAGTGCGAACACGGCAGCTAGAAGGAGTAGGACAAGGAACACCGTGGCTGCAACGTCTGATTGGGTTGCTTGACGCCAAATTTCGAATACAGGTACACTGCAGAGGTAAGTCAGTAAGTGCACTTTCGGAAGTTAAACCATGGTTCTCACCCTGTTGCTGTGGACACCACAGCCTCCAGATCGCTTGTGCAATACATCATTATGATTGCAAAGATGAAGGACGTGATAAAGCCGATGGACACGGTGCTCATCAGAGCTCGCGGCACGACCACCCCTGGGTTCTTGCACTCTTCAGCCAGATGTACTGCTCCGTCGATACCGGCGTACATATAGTTTGGCGAAACGAGACCTGTGAGGAAGGCGATGCCGTTGGACCAGCCACTCTCGTTGAGGAATGTCGTCCACACGGACTCTGTGGACTGAAAGCTTGGTGCGGTACGAGCGAGGCATGTTATGACGATGACGAGGAAACTGCCAATCGACACAAAGACTGTTCATAACGCATGGTCAGCATCAAGGCCTTTACCACGCAGGAACAAGTATGGTTGACTCACAAGCCAGGTCATGTACCCACATAGTCCGTCGAAGCAGATAGATGTTGTACACCAAGACGAGCACGTTGGCTGCCTGATACACCAGAAACGCATGCCATGCCTGCGGGACATAAGTCGGGTTCCAGAACACTGCTATACCGAGACACAGCTGGGGGACGATGATGGCAATGCCAGCACAGATTGCGATCCAAGAGAAGACATTGGTCGCTCCACAACAGTAGCTCTGTTGCGTGTCAGCGTCCGCACAGTCTTTGTCGTTGACACGCGGTCAACTCACCAGTTCTCTACTCCACTTCTCAGAAGCCAAAATCGAAACCCAATGGTACTGCCCACCAGCCGTAGGGTACACACTCGCGAGTTCTGCTAGCGATACTGCGCAAGCGCCAACCAGCACACACATGGCGATAGGTCCATAGATTAATGTGACTGGGCCACCTTGTGCGATTGCTAGGGCAAAGGTAGCTGCGATTCCCGCCCAGCTATTGCAGATGATCCAGCCTGCAGAAATGGTCTCCATACCGCTCATGTTCCGTACTTCTACATCCTGAAGGACTAGGCCTTCGAGGTGAACGTTTTGGATCTGACCATGATGCTGTGACGGTACTGAGCCTCCGTTAGCTGGGCAGTGTTGTTAACGAGAGATGGAAATGCTTACGGCGCTCAAGGTCAGTGGAGACCTTCGAATCATAGTCCATTTTCTTCTCCGCAGGGCCCATGATGTTGATGAGAGGTACCGATCCTGTTGTTAGTGGATGAGGTAGGCCTGCGGTGAAGGGGCTTATGTATCAAAGCGGCTCTCGTCTTATCATTAGGGCCTCTGGGTCGGAAACACGATAGAGCAAAGGCGTAGAGGTTCGCATCGCTTATCACTGCTATCACTCCCCCAATCGGTCTATCTGGACCATAAGCCATGAGATAGATGATCGTCACCAAAGTTCTCCCTTTATTGCCCCAATCGGGCAAGGCTGCACTTCTGACATCGTTACTCGGATGCGGGGTTGACGCTAGGGCTGATCACACGCTGTCAGGGACCAGGGTAATACGCGGCTAGATAGCTTTGGCGCCGATACGAGGCGAGGTTTAGATATTTGCATGGATAGGCGAGGGTTGGGAGGTACTGCAAGCGCGGATCAATACCGCACCTTATCACGTCGCTTATAATTATAACTTCGAAGATAATCTTGATGTGTCGGAGAAAGCTTGAACGCTTCAACCATTCGCAACTCGGAATTTTACTCTACTCTACAAGCTAGGCTTCACGCTCTGGAGGTCCGCCAGCTCCTTCCTCACCTCATATGCGACCCTTGTGCCCTCCTCAATCGCTCCGTCGATGAAACTCCTCCAGCCTAGTGCCCAGTCCGAGTTTGCAAATAGCACATTCCCATGCCTCTCCCTCATATCGCCCAGATGGTTCGCAAGCAAACCGGGTGGTGAGAAGAACCAAGCGCCCTTCGCAAACTCGTCTTTCGACCAGTTATGGAACACCAGCCTCTCAATCTCGGGCTGCTTCTCCTGCTGCGCAAACATGTTCATCACCGCGCGCTTCGTCGCATCGATGTTGACTTCAGGGTCGATGTGTTTGTTGCTGCCGCCAAAACAGACGACGTGTGTGTTGCCTGCAGGTGTTGTACCGTCCCCGATGGCGTACATGAGTTCGTTGTGTGGATATGTGACGCCTGTCCAGGAGCGAAGATCTTTGTTCGAGATTTCGGCATGGACTTTGACGCATTGGTTGACGTGACCTGTCGCGATAGCTGCTTTCTTGCCGGCGCTGAGAGGTGGGTCGAACGCTACTTCGCCCAAGACGTTGAGCGGCATGGCTGAGATCAGTCGTGCGGCGTGGTAGCCGTGGCCGTCGCGTGTTGTGACTTCCACTTTGTTGCCTGTGTCTCTGATGTGCTTGACTGGGCTATTGAAGGCGTAGGCAAGGCGCTTTGTGGCGAGCGCTTCCTGGAAGAAGCGAATCGCGAAACTGGACTGCCCATTCTTGAACTTCCAGCTAATGAGCATGTCTATGCAGCCTGCGTACGTGTAGCCACACATAGCCCACCAGTGCATGAACTCGTAGAAGCTCATGTTGGTAAGTGTGGCTCCGCTACAGAGTAAAACGAATGACTCTAGCGCGGCCCGTTCTTGTGGCGATAGTGATGCTGCGATCTCATTGATGCGGTCTTGGGCGGAGAGATTGTCGAGGTCCTTTGCGGCTGGTACGTGGAAGGTGTCGTAAGGCAGAGGAATGATATTTCTCCCATAAGCTCCGTCAATGTTCGTGAACTTATTCAAGGCCGAGATGAGGAGCTCATCCTGCAATATGTCAGCCCGCAACTCAATCAATAGGTCAGTAGAAACGAACCTCCTCATCATGGCTCATGGTATAGCCATCCTGCCCAATATTCAGTTCATAATGGTTTACGCCATGCGAAAAGTCGAATGATTTCTCCACATCGTTCATCATCTGATACCTCGACATCTCTCTCCAGGTGTTCGATTGGCCCCAATGCACCCAGGTACCTCCCATCTCAAAAGGGTAACCGCCAATGTTAGAGGACCAAGATCGACCTCCAATACGGTCTCGCCCTTCGAGTAGCAAGACCTTCAGTCCTTCGGCTGCGGCATTGCGTGCGGCTGTGAGCCCGCAGTAGCCTGCGCCAACGACAATGACATCGTAAAGGACTTCAGAGCTGGAGACGTTAGTAGGAGGATTGATAACACCGAGAGAAGGAACACCAGCTGTCAGGCCGGATGCAGGCGTCCATGTGTAGCCGTCGCGAGAGGTCATGTTGTGGGAGAGTTGCGCTGAACACAAGACAGATGAGAAGGTATAGCAAAAGCGCCAAGAGACCGACCGAGGACCATGAGTCTTAAACGGCGGACACCCACAGGCTTCAATATCGTGTTATCCGTTAGGACAGAAAAAGCCTATCGTTCGGGCAGTGCGAAATACCATTTCGCGGCATTCAAGTGAGGAAGCTAAGGTTGGTCCCTCTAGCGCGACACTATCGTCCTAACGTGGCAAAGACGGCAGGTGCACGAAGTGGGGCCGTCCCAATCAGGACATTAAAGTGAGAAAATTGTCCCACACCACGTCTTAATGCTCTGCAACGGCTCGCTCACAAATTGCTCGCTTCCTGACAGCACGATATCTCCCTGTGCACTGTTTCTATGATAATCTGCTTAACTTGCGTATCTGAGTTGAATGCCTCCGTCCGCTGCACCTTTATCTTAGTGACATACGATGGCACATACCTTAATGAGAAGCTGCTCGGCAAGCTTCATCAACTGGCGTTAGGTCACGGGTCGTGATCGAGATAAGAGCATCGAAAACAGCGCTATAACTTGCTTCTTGACTAAAGATTACATGGACTCTATATAGCAGCCTTTTCGCGCGGCAGGAGGTGGAGTGTTTCGAGGAGCAAAGCAGCGGCGTTGATGAGACCATAGAAGATCATGGGTATCAGCTATAAGCACGTCAGCGTCGATTCACAGTACAGGGCATTGTAGGATCACTTACTCCGAAGAAGAGGTTGCCGAGTAGACCCCTTCGCATGATGGTCTCAGCCAACTCCGTTTTTGCTATCCCAGGCGCAGCCTCGCTCTTAAAAGGCCCAGTGAGCCTGTAGAACGTAACAAAACTGGCGCCGAAGCAATAGATGAGCAGCACCTTCAACCCATAAGTGCGCCACAGCTCAACTAAGCCAGGTGCTCCACCAAAATCTTTTGCAAGAGTGCTCATGTATGCGCTGTGATCGACTCCATACCGGATCCGTGCGGTGCTGGGCGCAAGAAGGTGGTAGTGTGGAGTATCGGTTGGCATCTTCATGCGTCCGGTCATCAATGCTGTCCACCACATCGCTTGCTGTTCGGCGATAGGTGGGATAGCGCCTACACCTGGGCGAACGAAGCCAATGAATGCAACGCTTGGCTCGTTGGGAGCGACGATGTTGCGGACCGTGGCATCCGAAGCAGTACTGTACGAAGGATCGAGGTATGAGAACGACTGCTTGTAGCCAGTGCAGTATACCACACAAGTTGGCCTGACTTCAGCGTCCTTCATCCGCCGCCAGTCCTTGCGTTCCGTGTTCTTTTGGAAGACGACTCTTCCAGTTTCATCAATGCGTTCTGGGAACGTACATGTGTCCACCCATCTCTTCGACTGCGCATCCTCCGGAGGATCTACGTAGCCGTTGCCCAGAAAGCCGAGAGGGTGCTTCTCCTGGTACGGGCGATTCAGGTAAGGCATTGCTTTACTACTCTTGTTCAGGAAAACGAACGCTCTGCCTAAGCGGTCGTGAGGCAGAGCACCAACGTGCTGGTTCATACCAGCTTGTGTACCTGTGAGGAACCACAGCACACGCTTGATAACGAAGTCAGACACGAACCAGCGCATGCGACTTGCAGCAACCGCGCTATGGACGTAAGCAGTTTCAAACAAGTTGGTGATGAGTCCATCGATCGGCAGACCACCTTTGAACTCTTTGCCAAAAATCTTGAAGCGGGAGAGGGCTTTGGGAAAGGAGAGGAAACCGGTCCTAAAGCACATTGTGACCGATTTGGCGTCAGCTTTGATAGCCTCATAGGCAACATCTAGATGTGTCAGCTCCAGGCCACATGAAGATCAAGTTTTTGACAAACCCATGCCCGTCTCTCCACAACCCATGATCAGCACGTCTTGACCTGTGAGCTGAGCGCGCCCCTTGTATTGCGACGAGTGAAAGGCTTGTCCTTTAAGGTGCTCAATGCCAGGTATGGATGGTACATTCGGCTCTACATGAAGGCCTGGAATGGTCAGCAAAGTGCCGTGTTGATAAGCCGGATCACTTACCTGTGCAGATGGCGACATGGGAGCAGTCGAAAGTACGCTCTTTGTTGTCATTCTTCTTGTCCACATACTTGACTCGATGTTTCCATTTGGAGTTAGAGGACTTTTCCAGCGGTGCGATGCTAGTCACTGGACACCCAAGCGTGATAAGAGGAGCAAGCGCAAAGCGATCCACGTATGATCGAAGGTATTCGACATATTGAGGCAGAGAGATGTGATCTGGAGCAGAAAGAGGGAACCGATGATCAGAGAAGGTTGTTAATTGCTTCGACGAGACCAGCTCTGCGTTTTCATACGACCGATACTGGAAAGTACCTCCTATACCTTCTTCACTGTGCGCCACTTAGTTCTTCTTGATCGATCGAGCAATTGCAGAAGGTGAATCTTACGCTTCGAAAAGTACAGCCTCGATCGGCCGCGCGGGCGTAGATGCCTCGAGTAACGTCTTGAGTGTTGTTAACCCTCCAGGACTGATCACATGTTAGCTATCGAAGTATCGCAATTGCCGCAGGAAGACGTACCCTGCGCCAATGACCGCAACGCGCATCGCCGGCGCTTTGTCTGTGCCTGACATCTTGTCTGCCTCGAAAAATCGAATGCACAGCGACTGGAACTAACGTACAAAGGTGCAACGAGCGTGGAAGCGTCTTCTGTTATCGCCAGCCTCCTTGACTTGTGGTTGCAGATGCAGGGCAAGCGCGTTGAACCTGCATCTCTCACCCAATCAGTAATTTGTATATGACGTATACATTCGTTCCACAACTCCCTTTCAGAAGCTCTTCCAAATCGGCAGCATCCGCCCCACAATTGAGGAATTGCTGGTTCCTGGATTGGAGCAATTGATGCTGGCAACAGGTCTGTCGCAGGAACTGCCCCTTGCGGATCTCCTCCGACAGCTTGCAAACCTTCAGCGCAGCCGAGGACCACCGCGCCGTAGCTCATACCATGTCAACAAAACACCTAACTGTAGAGCTTCTGTATAGCTCAATTCCTTCCTCACGACCCTAAACATGGAGTCGCAGCAGCATGTGAGGGTTGCTGTGGTGGGCTCGGGCATGGCGGGGCTCGTTACAGCCCACCTGCTCAAGCAAGACCGCCGCCAGCGATACACGGTGAAGGTGTTTGAGTCGGTATGTTGCGCGATTGACGTATGTCTATGACCACCTAAAATCTAACAACCTAGGGCAATACCCTTTCTCTCGATTCAGCTTCCGTCTCTATTCCTAATGCCGCGCGCACATCGTCCAACCGCGTCGACCTGCCCATGCGCGCCTTCGCCGGCGGCTTCTACAGCAACCTGAGGTCTATGTACGACTACCTGGGCATTCAGTACCAATCGCAGCCCTTTTTGTTCGAATTTGCGCAATCAAAATTGCCCTACTACACACACGCATCGAATCTACACCAGCTTCCTGCGCGCCCGAATGGCGTCAGCTTGATATCGTACCTACTAGAGTTGGCGTATCTGGTTGTATGCTATGTATACTTCTCGCTCTGCTGCTTCTTCGTAGCTCCACAGCGAGGCGAAACACTGCAGGCCTACTTTGAGAGGACGTGGACACCAGAGCGCTTCATTACCTACTACGTCCTTCCGCTCATATCGAGCGTGACTACCTGCCCTCACGACTTGTTACTCGCGTTTCCTGCCAGCGATCTGACTGAGTACAAACGAAGAACCCATCGCGCGCCGCACTACACCGTCTCAGAGGGCGTTCGAGCGGCCCAGAATCGCCTGGCGAAGGGCATACAATATGAGCTCAATGCTGCCATCACGGCTGTAGAGCCGCAAGAGAAAGGCGTGCGGCTCTCTTGGAAGAATGCTGATGGGCAGCAACAGACGGAGGTATTCAACAAAGTCGTTCTTGCGGTTGCACCCGATGTAGTTGGACAAGTCTTCGAGCCTCTACAGCAGTACATGGCACGTATACCAACAGCTGTCGTTGAGAGCGTTGTACATACCGACGACCGCGTCCTGAACATGGGCTATAAGTCGGCGGACGGGATGAACAGCAATGCACAATTGATCCATCTGAACACCTCGACCGTTGATCGACACCGGACCGAGTCACACCACATGCAGCCGTGCGGTGCAATCGTCACGACTTGCCCCTTCAGCCCGATGGAGGAGTCTCGAATCACCCACTCGGCCAAGTTCACGCGTGTACTTCGTAGCCCACAGAGCCAGCGCATCGTCAATGCGATATTTGGAGATACGCCGGAGTGTTATAGTGACGAGAAGTCAGTGCCACTTTGGAGGAATGGCGACGATAATGTATATCTCGTTGGTGGCTGGTGCTGGGATGGCATGGTACTCTTGGAAGGCTGCGTTGTATCAGCAATGAGAGTCGCGGACGCATTCGATGTAGAGGTGCCCTGGCGGCAATAGCTATAGAACAATGTACATGAACCTAAGACAACCCTTTCACTAGTCGAGATTCTTACTTGTGTGAGGTTCCAGCCTACCACGGTTTCATGCACCACTCCCAAAGAGGCTAGAGCCACAACACATCTCCAAATCCCACCACGATAATCATCACCTCAACATCATCACCACGCCGCCATGATCTTGCACATCTTCAAGATCGCCATAATAGCTGCCGTGCTTTGGATCACGCTACCATGGTTCCTTGTGAAAGTCCCCTTTGAGTTTCGCATGCAATGGCAGATCAGACCCAAAAGCCTGGCCGTGGTAGCAGCCTTCTGCTTCCTGGCTGTCACGGAAGCTTTGAGGTTTCGGCGAAGGAAAACCAAGAAGACCGTATATGGGCTGCAGCATGGAAGACTGCATCTGGATGCGCATGTGCCGATGTGGATGAACATGGGTTATTGGAAGGTGAGTAGACCTTAAGTCCCGCCCGATGTGAGAGAACTAAAGATATGTTGCAGGTTGATGGGAAGGACGCGTTGAATCCCAAGAGCTTGGCCGAAGCATGCCGAGATCTACTAGAGCTCGTGCTTTCCGAAGCTGGGTTGTCTGAAGATTCAAAACAGGATCACTCAAGATGTTTGATCGACGTTGGATTTGGTTGCGGTGAGCAGACGATCTACCTGATGAACGAGAAGCCTGTCAGTCGTTGTGATGAGCTATGGTGGAGTGCTCGAGATCATCAGGTGTACTTTGATCAGTATATTGGTATTACGCAGGATGGAGCGCAGTGTGGCTATGCCCAGGAGCGCGTCAACGAGCTGAAGAAGGACAGTATCAGTCTCTTTTGTGCAGATGCCTCGAAGCCTCGAATCTGGAGCGAACAACTGCTCGCAACCATCAAAGCTGCTAAGTCGAAGTCCAAGGAGACATGGCTCCTGGCGTTAGATACTGCGTATCATTTCTCACCTTCTCGATGGGGGATCGTAGAGCATGCGTATCACAGACTGGATGCCTCTTTCATGGCGTTCGATCTCTGTCTGTCGCCGAATGCAAGACCGCTCCAGAAGCTCATTCTCCGCATCTTGACAACACTGATGGGCGCACCCTGGGTCAACTTTATCACACCCGAGGCTTACAGGCAGAGGCTCATGAACATTGGATACCCGGCAGATGCAATCAAGATTGTTGACATTTCGGAGCACGTATTCGCGCCTCTGGCGACTTACATGGAGGAGCAAGATCGCAGACTGAAGATACTTGGACTCGGTCTTGGAAGCTTCCATGCAGCGAAGTGGTTGTTCAGGTGGTGGGGTAGGACAGGTGTGGTGAAAGGGGTTGTGGTGGTCGCAAGACATAAAGAATGCAGTCAATAGGCTACGGGATGCTTTGATCCAGGCAGGGTAAAGGATTGCTCCAGATCGCGTCATCCTCTGGTCTACTGTTAGGCGCACGCCTCACCGTATCGCCGTTTCGTTTGTATCACGCTTCCAGCCATGCGTGCAGATACCTCTCAGATGCTCGCGGCTTGTAAGTGGTCGCGCGGCTGCTTGCAGTAACAAACGCTCAGCTGCTCCCTCCATCTACTATCACTCTCGAGCTTCTTACCTCAACTGTTCACCAGACTGTCAATATCCTTGTTCACGATCTTGTAAAATCCAATGCACCTTCACAACAGCCAAAACGCTTAACACTAATCTAGTTAGCGATTCGAAAGCCCAATATTGCGTCTCGACACTGTTCGATTTCAGCTTCGAGAATGAGCGAATCGATAGAAACAACACCACCATATAAGTCTAGAGATGCATTTCTCGCCCACGGCATAAATGACATACTCCTCGATGCCGCACTCGACTGCTCGATCTGTCGAGAGCCGCTGGCGGTCGCCTTTGGGCAGGCAGAGACTGCTCCACCACACCTGCCATCTCCAGCCGTCTCGAGCTTTACTCATGTCGCCATAAACGATGGAATGACACAATCGAACACATGCGACTTCACCATAACAGCATCTACCGACGACGACTTAACACCAGAGAAATCAGTCCGCATCCTCCCTTGCGCGCACATCTTCGGGCGCACCTGCCTCTCCGCGTGGTTCACTTCCTCCAAATCCAACCGCTGTCCCGAATGCAATCAAGAGCTTTTCCCTAGCCGGCACATGAAACTCTTTCTACGCGAACCCACTCGCTCAATGCGCATAGAGTTCGTAAATTGCATCGAAGAGATGTGCGGCGACGCCGAAACAGCACAAGAGATTCGAGATAGACTAATGAGTGGCTGGACTCGATCACTCATTCGCGAGTTTGCGATGCAGCTATGGCGAGAGCAGGGCTATGACGTCGAGTATCAGTATGTTGGTGGTGAAGAGGCTGAGGAAGTGGAGAACGAGGATATGTTTGATGATGAAGACGACGACAGTGATGAGATGGAAACCGACGGGTCTGAGGATGACGACGAGCAGGAACACAACGAAAATGGCACTCTGGTGAAGGAAGCCTGATGAAGCGTTGGTAACGGCCATGGCTCACGCCAAACAACCAGATGCTGTGGGAGTCTTTCGAAGATGATACACCTCCAAAGCCGCGAGCGGTGAACGATTGTGTTGGGTACTTATTGTGATGTTATGGGGTGCGATTGTTCTTGATACGACATCAATGATTTGTTTCATGAGGTGGAATATGCTAGATGGATGTCAACGTGTACGAAATACATCCTTACTGTCGGGGCTCTGTTTAGGGTCATGAGGTTCTGAAGTTTTTTCAATGCATTTGGTTATATTCTTATCTTGTGCTATGGGTTCAGCTCATTGGCCCTAGGCGGCTGTCTGTGTATGGTCATATAAGAACACGATATTTCATACCTCAGCACAGGCCTCTACACCCGTTTGAGAACCTTCTTTGCGACTGTCAGTCTCGCTATAATGACAAAGAGAGCGGAGAGTGTAGCCATGCCTCCAGCATAGAAGATAGCAGGGCGATATGCCTCAACGCTCTGGCCAATGCCTGCACTTTGTCTGCTACCACCTGCAGCTTGTAGCAGATAACCTGCGATCGGCGCGCCCATCAGATACCCCGCTGTCCAACCCGTCACAGACATGCTCATTGCGACTGTAGCCCTTCCAGGGCCAAAGATGCCGGCCACAACAGTGGGCTGCGTCGTGAAGTAAGCGCCGTTCGCGACTCCGTTCACTGTCGCGAAGATGACGAGGGGAGCAAGCGTGTTTGAGACGGGCCAGATAGCGAGCATGGAGACAGCGTTGACGGCCATGACCATGACGAACATGTTTAAGGGGCCAATCTTATCGCAGAGTGGCCCAGCACAGAAGCGTCCAATGGCATTACATGCGTTGAAAGCCGCAACAAGCCCAGCACCAGTACCCGAACTAAGACCGATGGATTGTGCGAACAGTGGAAGGTAGTAGGGAGGGATGTAAAGAGCGAAGACCCCAATGGCACTGGCCACGAAAGTTGCAACGAAGGGAATGGAGCGGAACATGCTGGTGTCGAAGAAAGGCGCGGTTTTGAGCGGCACACGATCCTTGAGCATCCAAGCGGCCGGCATCCCGACTGCCAGGGTACATAAGCCTTGGAAGCGGAAAGTCCACACAATGCCAACTCTCTGGTACATGGCCTCGAGTGCGACAGCCATGACACAACCCCCAACACCACCTCCTAGCTTGATGATGCCGTTGGCAAGTCCAAGACGGGAGCTGAAGTATTGTACTGGAAGCGCATTGGACACAGCGTAGTTCATAGCCATGCCTACTCCGCCAATGATTCCATACGTCCCAAAAAGGCCAGCAACGTTCGAGGTGCAGAAGCTGGCTCCGATCATGCTCATACCCATCAAGAAGACTCCGAGGAGAATAGTCGCCCGTGCCCCAAACCATCGCATGAAGCGCACCACAAGAAGACCGTACATGGCTCCCCCAGCAAGTCCAAGAGATCCAACAAAAGTCAATGTGGCAGCTTTCTCGTTCTTCAAGGTGGAGTCTAGGAGGGCGGCTTGTAGTACACCCCAGCAGTTGATGATGCCATTGTGGCAGAATGTGGTGATAAAGCCTGCAGCAACAATGACCCAGCCATAGCCGCCATCCGGTATTGCTGTTGTGGAGTAAGGTGCATCTTCTGGAACTTCATTGGGGTTCTGGTTTATGGAGATAGGTCGTGAGGTTCCCAGGGTGTATGTCGTGAGCGGAACCTGAGACTCTCCGCGAAGGTGCGCGACTTCATTGCGCTCGGCCGTGATTGTTGTCGTAGCCATGTCAACAATGATTTTCGAGCGTTTGTGGTCAGTTGAATGGAGCTTGCAGAATGCAAAGCAGATGGCTTTTTGTTCGCAGTGGGGTCAAGACCGAAAATGGTTAGACCGCGCCCTTCTCATATGCTTCCTTCTGTGAAAGGGCTCTCCGAGACCGCAGTTTCGTGCACTGATAGCATCTCATAGTCGACCGGGTGCTAATCAACTTGGCGATGCCAACGCACGCAAACCGTAATTTCTACGCTCATGGTTCAGGCGAAGACACAGCAGAGTTGTGTCTGTTGTTGAACCTGAAGGAAGGAGCAGACATGCAGACATGTGGCTGACGTCACCCTCCGAAGCTGGACCGGCGCAACCACAATTGCGTATTCTGTGACAACGACTTGAACAGAGATGGACGCGCATCGCACACATCTTGGAATTTTTAAGGCCTGAAGTTCTGACTTTCCCGGACGAGGACTAGTGTCCTAGATACAGAAATTGCGTGTTCGATTGCCAGTTGTTCGCTGCTGATCAACACCATGATTGACACGAGCTTCGCCTAAAACAGCCCCTAGACAACGCACATCATGGCATGATCCCAGCAGGTCGTAGGCATACATAGGCAAGCTTTTGGCATCCAAGGTAAGCAGGACAACTAATCACCAGTGTGCAGCAGAGAATCAGCAAGATCATCACTTGAAAAGGAATCCAACAGCAAAAGTATGGCCACCGAAGGCACAGTACAGCTGAGCGACGCGCATGCCCCTCACCAGGCATCTATAGATGCCATCGAGTCCATCCTAGATACGGTGAAGGAGGAACTTGTGAAGCTCCGCCGAGATCATGACAGTACGTCTCGTTCAGAACACCTAGTGCAGGCCTTCTGACACGTCCAGGACACGAGCCTGAGTATTTCCGCGCCGTCAAGCACGTATCCGATCCAGACCTGACCTCGTTCACCGTCCGCGACCTCGGGTCTGTCCGTGTCGCTATCTCAGCCTACGGCCTGCACCTGTTTGGGAAGATCCGGCTCCCAGCCGTAGATGATGGCTACATACATGTACGCGTTTTTGGCTCACCAAAGGACGGCACAGACGGCAGCAGCGCAGATGAGCGCGAGTACAGTCTACATAGCATACATACAGAAGAGATCATCAAGGAGGACGGAGACAGAGTGTACCGGGCTATATTCGGGCGCAACGATGAGCTAGAGTGGTTTGATACCTAATATACAGAATCTACAGGAATGATTGTTCAGCTGGGCAAAACTCAGTGTTGGTGGCTTTCAGGACTTCGTAGCCTACTGTGGCTCCCTCAACTGTGCTGACATACAGTACTAAGACTAAAGTCTGGTCGCGAATTTGAGCTCAGGCCACAACAACAACACCAACACGTATCACCACCTACACTTTGCACGTCTATAGCTCCACAACCATGAGACATTTTGGTGCTGCAATTAGCAGCAATTGATAGCCAGGTTGTCACGGGTATTTCCCCTTACATGTACCGGCCAGCCCTCTGTTGAAGTCGTGTCTTAAGCAAAGCTCATAGACACTATTCGATTGGTTCTTGGGGATGAGCAGAGGTACAGAAAGCCGTCAGGGGTTGGTTATCACTGAGCGAGCTTGGAGCGGCAGAGGTTTGACTGTAAAAATAGGGTGGCAACCTCAGGATAGAACCAATGCAATCCTCTAAGGAGGCAAGGCTTTGGACACGACAGCAATATTATGAGGGGAGTGCGCTTGCTAAGCGAGCGCGAGGCCTGATGGCCCAAGCTGAAACCTGCCGAGGCCATCCGAGGCCTGACAGGGCCTCTCAAGGCCCGGCTCATGAATGGCAGTCGTGACATTGACTGTGATAAACCGCTGTGATAATCAGGGGGTAGTCGTCTAGTCAAAGACCATGGCGACTGGTTGCAATGAGTAGTACA